TTTTTTGAGACAGGGTTTCTCTGTGTAGCTTTTGGTGCCTGTCCTGGAACTCGCTCTGTAGTCCAGGCTGGCCTCAAACTCACAGAAATCCACCTGCCTCTGCCTCCTGAGCACTGGGATTAAAGGCGTGCACCACCACCACCTGGAGTATCCTTATTCTTAAGCAGCATCCAATTTCTAATGAATTCTTGATAATTTAACTTTTATCATCATAAACTACACCTGCTCTGGTATTATTTGCAGTCTTGAAACAGAGTTCCCTCTATTTTAACACAGCCACACACCAGCTTCCTTATTATTAGTGGGAGAGTATCTTCCTATGTAACCCAGGCTGTCCTCAAATTCATGACTCCTCCCACCCCCTTTGCCTCAGATACCTAAGTACTGAGATTCTGGGTGTGTGCCACTCTGTGTCATATATTTCTTTTTTTTTTCTAACATATTTTCATTAGTATTCTTTTAAATGTACCTATTTGTATATGAGTGCACGTGTGTCTGTGTGTGCATGTGTATATCTGTGTCTGTGTGTGTGTGTGTGTGGGGCTCCTGTGGAAGTCAGAGGACATTTGGGCTTGCTGGCTGCCAGGCCCATCGACAATGTGGGACCCCAGAATCAAGTCAGGTTTGCTGGCAAGCATCTTTACTCACTGAGCCACCTCGCTGGCCTAATATGCATCTTTAGCAAACTGATTCTCAGAATCCAGTCTGAAAATGTTGTTTCTAATTAGTGTTTAAAACCAGTAACACGTAATGTAATTTTAATTTTTTTCATTTTAATGGTTACTATTTTTAACTATTTGTTTCCTATTCTTTCCCTTTGTTCTTTTGCTTCCTTTTTTTCATGCCTATTATTTTTGTTTGCGATTTAGAATATTTTCTTTTTATTTTAAAGTATGTGCATGTGTGTGCAGGTCCCCTGGGGTCCAGAAGAGGGCACTGATCTCATGAAGCTGGAGTTATGTCCTGCCTAAATGTGGGTGATGGCAATCAAATGTAGGTCCTCTGCAAGAGCGTTGCCCATGGGGAGGAGACACCAAAGCCCTTTGACCTAGGACATGGAACTAACTGGAAAGCTGAGTTTCCCCTGTGGGTTTCAGTCTTTGTATCTTCTCACCGTGCTGACTCTTCCCTTCTAAAACAGGAATGTATATTCTGTACCACCATCTGTTGGAAGTTATAACTTGCTTTTTATTTCACAGGGGGTTGGTTGCACATTGCCTTGTGTCTCGGAAGAGACTTTCAAACAGCGCTGAGACTGTTGTCTATGGGGACTTCTGAAGTTGAGCTACATGCATTTCGCACTATGGTGTGAGACTATGGGACCAGGGGATGGAATGTGGTGGTTGGAATGGGACCCCACAATCAGTCTCCGGTTGGTGATGCTGTCCAGGGAGTCTCAGGATTGCGGTCTTGTGGAAGGAAGTGCCACTGAAGGCGGGCTTTGAGAGTTTAAAGACTTGCACCATTTCTAGTTCTTGCTGTGTTTCCTGTCTGCAGCTCAAGACGCGAGGCCTCAGCTCCCGCTGCAGCTGCTGCTTGCCGCCATGCTCCCTGCTATGACAGACTCGCACCCCTCTTGAACCGCAAGCCCAAACAACCCTTCCTTTGAGAAGTGGCTTCTGTCATGGTGTTCTATCACAGCAATAGAAAAGTAACTAACACACACGATAAAACTGTATGTGTACCAAACAATGTCTTCAAATAAATTTAATTTTAAAAAGATTTTTATTATGTACACAGAAGAGGGTGCCAGATCTCATTATAGATGGTTGTGAGCCACCATGTGGGTGCTGGGAATTGAACTCAGGACCTCTGGAAGAGCAGTCGGTGCTCTTAGCCTCTGAGCCATCTCTCCAGCCCCGTCTTCAAATAAATTTACAATTTATTATCAATAAATGTCTGGTGTATGTGCCTATTTTCAATACCCAGGGCCAAATAAATATTTCTCGAGGAAAAAGTCTAGAATGAAAAAAGTTTGAGAAGCTCTGAGCTAGAGGCAAGTTAGAGTAATGGAGGATGCCAATCAGAGGATGGACTTTCGGCTGGAAGAACCATCTCTGAGGTCTAATGGTGACAGGGTGACAGGTATCACATACTCGTGTAAATCATCAATATATTTGTATTTCAAATCTTCATACTGTGGACCTTGAGTACACGTACATTTATAAATTAAAACTTTAGGATAAAAATATAAAAGTAGAGCACATTAAGAGTAGTAAGGGGGTTGCCGGGCGTTGGTGGCGCACGCCTTTAATCCCAGCACTCGGGAGGCAGAGCCAGGCGGATCTCTGTGAGTTCGAGGCCAGCCTGGGCTACCAAGTGAGTTCCAGGAAAGGCACAAAGCTACACAGAGAAACCCTGTCTAGAAAAAAAAAAAAAAAAAAAAAACAAAAAAAAACAAAAAAAACAAACAAAAAAAAAAGAGTAGTAAGGGGGCTGGAGAGATGGCTCAGCAGTTAAGAGCACCGACTGCTCTTCCAGAGGTCCTGAGTTCAATTCCCAGCAGCCACATGGTGGCTCACAACCATCTGTAATGAGATCTGGCGCCCTCTTTTGTATACATAATAAATTAATAAATCTTAAAAAAAAAAAAAAAAAAAAAAGAGTAATAAGGAATCAACAAGTTAAGCCCAAGAGGCAGAACCGGGCCGGGCGGTGGTGGCGCATGCCTTTAATCCCAGCACTCGGGAGGCAGAGCCAGGTGGATCTCTGTGAGTTCGAGGCCAGTCTGGGCTACCAAGTGAGTTCCAGGAAAGGCACAAAGCTACACAGAGAAACCCTGTCTAGAAAAACAAAACAAAACAAAACAAAACAAAAAAAAAAAAAAAGAGGCAGAGCCGGGCCGATTCCTATGCTAGGGACTGCTAACTAGCTTACATGCTGAGTTCCATGCTCTGAGAACTTGTCTCAATCCGAAAAGTAGATGACTCCCAAGGAAGAGCATGTGAGGGTGTCCCTACACACACACACACACACACACACACACACACACACACACACACACACACACACACACACACACTAGAACCCACACCCCAAACAAAAACCCAGGTCAAGTCAGACTCCAGTTTAAAGGCCCAGGACTTCTCCTATTCCCAGATGAGTCTCAGCCCGACTGCTCAGTGCGTGGCACACGTACTCCCGAGGTCCCTCAGCAACACAGGAAGCTCCCACTTCCATGCTAGGCTTCTCTTTGAGCATCATTCCCTGTAGAAGCTTCTCCTGCCCTCCAAATCTTTCCTCCTCACAGGCACCAGGTCCTCTTGATGGCCACCTCAGCAAGGACACCTGACACACCAGTCTGAAGTGTGCACCGATTACAGAGTGGCAGGATGTGCTCAGAGAACGGGCTGGGGCAGAACCCACATGGCTCCTGAGGACCCAGTGAGGAGGTCTGCCAGGACTCTGAGGCTTCACCCCTCTGCCTCTCATGGCCGGCACTGCCAGGGCTGCTTGTCATCCAGAGCGTTAGGGGCAGGTCCCAGAGTTGGGGGCCTGGCTGCTGGGCCAGGATCTGAAGGACTAGCTATGGCCAGACCATCAGGGTTGGTGACCTCTGAGAGGTGAAGGGTTAGACTGTCCTCTACCAATCTACCCTTCCTACTCACCCCGCCCCTCTCTCTCACACACACACAGCTTAATGACAACCATACAACTAAAGAAGAGAGGAGGAGTTTATTGTGTTGAGCAGAGCTTACTCTCATGATAACACCAGCATTCCTTTGGACTAAAGACATCCACAGACATTAGCCTCACACCATGTGAGGTGTTGGCTTGAATGGGAAAGGAGGACACGGTTTCCTTAAAAACCTAAGCTTTGTCTCCATTTTCCCATTTCTGGCTGGAAAACAGAGTGCTTGGTTGTCTTCTGTTCCAAAGCGCCAACCTTCGGTTAGTGCAGTTTGCATCTGGTTGAGGGAACGGTGCCCGTTCCTCTGTCTGCTGAGCTCAACGGGGACAAGTAAGGCAGCAGAGAGAGCAGGGGG